TATACAGTTATTTGAAATTCAACATTTAAAATAACTACATTTTAATTAAGTATTAATGAAATAACATTCTATATTGAAAATTTAAATACATATAAATGCATTATCTTTTTTTACTAATTGGTCTACATTTTTTTTTATATATGTACTTTGTCTCAACTTAATTGTCTGCAGAATATAAATTGAGTATTATTAAGAGGACACTACACCCGCACGTGTTGTATCCTTTTTACAAGTGAGTAACATAGCAAATTTTACGCTCAGCAGATCATGTTAAGGTCCGTTAGTTTAAAATTTAGAGTGAATTAACCTCTTATAAAAATTGAAGGTAACATTATTATCGAGAGCTTCTCCATAGGATTTTTAGTAAACAGTGGAACCTCGATAACTTAAACCTMTATAAGTCAAATTTTCGAAAACTCAAAGGAATGAGTCCTTGGCCCTTGCCTTACAATACATGATATACTTTCATAAGTCGAAATTTTTTTTCTTCCCYCCACCGATTTGAGTAATAGAGGTTCCACTGTATTTTAATTTTAAAGCGAGTTATGAGTATTTTAAGATACACAAACAATTTACAATTTTTAAAAATACACATAACTAAAATTAAAATGTAATAAAAAGCCTATGAGAAGCCCTAAAAAATAATCTTACCTTTAACTTTTAAAAGAGATCAATTCACTCTAAATTTTTAACTAACTGAACTTAACATGATCTGCTGAGTGTAAAATTTGGTATGTTATGCACTTGTAAGACAAAGACAACACATGGGGATATAGCATCATCTTGATCAATATTGAATTTGTTCTATTATGTAAGACAATTAAAAATTATAATTCATTAATTAATATAATATAACATGGTTAATTATATTTAAATGGTATGTCTGCACTTTATGATTTGGTATTATGTTAAGTCAATATATAATAAACCAACATATATAACCAACGCAATATTAATGTGTTGACGGCTGTCAAACAAAATGAATGACATTTTATTAAAAACTTTTAAAATAACAATAAACTCATTGTTATTTTGATAGTTTAAACCGTTAAGTTAAAAATAATTTTGGTATATATTTTTTAATGAAAATAAAGATAATTTAGAATACCTGTATTTGTATCATTGTATTTGTCTATTAAGGCTCCTTGTTCTTCAATAATCTTTATCCAATCCTCCGTTTGAGGTATTTCAAAGTTTTTTCTTTTAATCTCTTTTAAATTGGTTTCTATTTGGTCCTATGATGAAACAATAGTAGTGAAAATAAATAAATTTACAATTTTTATCTTYATCAAATACTTACAGCTTTACGCATATTCCAATGACTATGAAGAAAATTCCAAATATCTGGAATAGGTACATCCAACTTCAGTTGATGACTGAGATGCATTTTAATCAATAACATACTCAAATGCTTATTCAATCCTTAAATGTAAGTAAATCATTATTATTATT